TACGTTTCTTCTTCTTATTTTTTTCCCATTGGCTTTCTTTGTTTCTTTCTTTGGTGTTCACCGGTTTTCTTTTGTTTTCCTTCTTTTAACACAAGTCTATTTCTTTAATACACATAGTACAATTTTTGTATACTTCAGGAACATTTTAATTACAAGTTTAATACATTCTTAAATATATGTTATGATGTCCACTTTTATCATACGCATCTTACATTTTTCATATACATCTTTTTTGTATACATGTAATATTTTTCAAATACATGATTTTTTTCAAATACATGTTTTCACCATTTTTGATATACTTGTCAATTTATTTGAAATACACGTTGAATCAAATTTTGGAATGATACAAAAAAATTTAAACCGTGTCATTATTGTTTTCATTGTATTAGCATTTTATGAAGTGTCATATACATATTTTTGAAACTCGTGAACATTTTCTTGAATGGTACAAAATACTTTTTTACTTGCATGGATATTTTTACATTGTGTATTTTTTTCAAAATCTCATGTACATTTTTTGAATCACGTGAATATTTTGGTCCAATATATTTTTAGAATAGTACACATACTTTCCTAAAGTTTAGTGAACATTTTTTCATTGCATGAATAGTTTTTAGATATGCCATGAACAATTTTGAAAAATTAACTAAATATTTTTTCATAATAAATCTATTCAGTTTTTTAATGCAAACAAGTAAAAGGAAGAAGAAGAAGAAAACACGTGTTTAACGTCAGCGTGATGAAACGACGACTACTATGCCGACCTAGTATGGACTCCCTGTAGCCGAGCTTCGCTTCGATCTCCCTACAGGCGAGATATAGACTTGCCCGGACGTTATAAGCGCCAAATATGAAATGACAGTGTAACTAGTACTCCCTTCGTTTCGAATTACTTGTCTTAGATTTATGTAGACACGGAGGTATCTAGCACTAAAATGAGTTTAAACACATCTGTATCTAAACAAATCCAAGACAAATAATTCGGAACAGAGGGAATATTATGGAGCACGGCCCAGTAGCCACGAAATCCTATCAAAAGAAGGGTCTCGAACCGGAAAACCAATTCGGCTCCTAGGTGCACATTCTCCGGCGTGCAAAAATAATTTTAGAAATGTCAAGAAAATCTCAACAAAAATTTTATTCACTCTTAGTCACACTCAAATGCTACTTGCAAACTTTTAAGCAGAAAGGTTAAGCATTTTGATCTGTGCAAAAAACAAAAAACAAATCAAACCCCAAATGTCATCCCTAAATTTGTTTGCTTTTTCACTCACGAAAAACCTTCTACTTTTCCCGCAATATGATCTTTCATTGAGTCTAATCTTGTAGAAAATTTTCATTTGTCTCTATAAATCCTGCAATATAGTTCATGTATCTTTTTCCTGTGGTGCAACAAAACAACTTTTAGAACGTATTTATGCGTTTCCAATTTCTGTTGGATTCAACAAGTAAAGACATCTAATCCCTACGTTTATCTATTCACATATTTTCGAAATCCTTTGAGCGCCTCTTTGATTCATAGAAAAAGTGGAGGCAAAAAATTAGAATTTTTCTTTTCATGTGACTATTTGTCCATTTGGTTCAAAAGAAAGGAGAAAAAGAGAGGAAAATTTCCTCTGTTCTAGGTAAAAGAAAACAAAGACAATCTACAATTCAGTTGGAAGTGAATAAAATCCACAAAACCACCAGATTCATGTTACACAATGCAAGAAAAAAAACATCAATTTACAAAATATTGCAGTATGCACCGCACCGAAAAATTGATAGTGGCAAAAAATACTAATGGTAGATGCCGAGCATTTGGATGACATCACTAATCGGTCGGGCCCACCCATCGGGTTGAGTTGTCAGAAAGAAAATGCCACGTAGACAAATTGGACTTAGTCTTCTTCTTCTTTCGCCTCTTCTCTGACCTTAGGCATTTTATCAACCACCATATATGGGCGCAACAAGAAGTCACCGACACCTCCCCCGCGCCGAAGAGTCTTGGCCGCCGCACGGAGGACGTGGATTTTTTGAGCTCGGGCTCCTGGACACCTCCTATCCTTACCCTCCAATATAGTTTTGAGATCCGTGATAGACAACTAATATACTACATGAAAATTTCTCTTTTTTGTTTCTTCCAAATAATCAAACATTACAAGGTAATAAAACATTCTTACTACAATATGAGAAAAAACTTACAGACTTCTTTGTCTGACATAAATACACAAAATGAGATTTTCTTGACTCAAAAATGTTATTTTTAGTGTTTATGATGCACGAAAATAAGCCGAGTTTTTTCTCACATTCTAGTTAGAATGTATTATTGTGCTGCAAAGTTTGAAGTTCATATGTTGGTTTATATGAAGAAACAAAAAAGATAAAAGTGTTGTCACGAATGGCCATGCAGAAATTGATGGCTAGATAAAGAGGTGCCCCTAAGCCTAAGCTCCACTACCTCCGTCATTGTTTATTTGCCCTCTTAGTATTATGAGCAATATTTCGACCATAGATTAAATTATCAAAATTTAATGAATGTCACAGAAATAGTATCATTGAAAAACTATGTTCAAATACGAATTCAACGATAATAATATTTTATAACATGCATTAATATTTTGTCAGTTAAATCTATGGTTAAATTTTGACATTGAATATGAGGATGAACAATAAATCAAGACGGAGGTAGTACTAACATATTTTTGGGAGCCGGGATGCCTAAGAAGAACCCCGCCATGGCCAAGCTCTACCGCTTCTAGGGTGGGGGCGACGCCCGCGAGGGCATACGGGCTGTCGGTGCTGAAGGCGTGGCTGCTGGCCGCCGGGCGGGGGTGACGCCCACGCGCGCCACCCATGAGCTGGGAGCGCAACTGCCGGGGGCCGCCGCGGGGGCGGTGCTAATGGGCATGGTGGTAGGCACGCTGGAGTCATCCGTGGGGGCCGTGGCGGCCAGGCCCCACTGTATGACGCATACCCAGCGTGGCCTTTAGCCTCTTTCCGCACAAGCTAGGGCCTCCAACTGACCCAACAATGACGTTCTTCTCATATACAATGCAACTAGTTTGGACGCGGAGTTTCTGCACCCGAGCTCAAATGAGCTTGGGTAAACGATAAAATCGAAACAAAATCAGAAAAAATTCAAAAAAAATCATTTTTTTGGGGAAAAACATTGACAAAAGTTTTAAGTGCTTGCAAAATTCATCTTGCAATCACATTTCTAGAAGGCGTGGCAAAAAAACAAAAAACAAAATCGGTACTATGAAAATGCTACTTTCAAAAGCATTTTTGAAGCATTGAATTTGTTTTTTTCCACGCCTTATAAGAATGTGATTCCATGATGATTTTTTGCAAGCACTTAGAACTTTTGTCAATATTTCTCCCATTTTTTTGAATTTTTTCTAAAAAAATCAATTTTACTGTTCACCGAGCTCGTTTGACCTCGGAGCAGAAAGGTACTTTCGTACTAGTTTTTGGTTTAATCGAACTAGCAAATCAATCCATCTCCCACAGCTGACCCAACAATGGCGTTCTTCTCGATCTGACCCATCTCCACAGAGTAAATCAATCCAGGAGGAGAGCATGGTCATGGTACATGGTATCGTGGAAGCTCTCCGTCTCCATCATCCACATCCGCTGCCGAAAGTTGTATCAGTGTGCACCGACGCCGGGTCCCAGATGACGCATGTGAGCTCGACCGCACAGATGGCTGCTGCTCTTGGCCCTCTGTTGCGAGGTCTTAGTTGAGCGCGTAGCGCGGAGCGATGGTTGAATGCGAGCGGCGGATCCCTGCTCCGGGAGGATGTCGACCACGTTGATGTTGTGGTACGTGTCGCCGCCGCGTGCTGTGCGTGCTACCACCGCGCGCGGTGGTCTCCGGAGCTGCTGCGCCCGGGCGTTGTTCGTGTCCTGGCCGTTCCGCTCGTGACCTTCTTCTGCGTTAACCATGTGTTTGATAAAATGCCAGACAGAAAGGAGGAAGAAGAAGACCAAAAGTCCAAGTGTCCACGTGGCGTTTTTATTCTGCCAACTCAGCCAGACAGGCGGTCCCAGCCAATTAATGACGTCATCAAATTCATGCACCACAGGGAAAGTTACCTGCCGTCAAGTTTGGATTTTTTTCATTAGTGCCAAAAATATATTCCTACAAATCAAGCACCATAGTTTATAGATCTTGGTCATCTAACAAAGGAATCCACGTGATAAGTTACCTGCCGTCAAGTTTGGATTTTTGTTAGTGATTTTTTGCGACAAAGGCTGCCGCCCCCACAAGGATCATCAATCCTCACAACCAGTTGCCAAAAGTATTGCGCACAGTGGGATATAAATTTGAAGGTAGTTGAACAATAGATCACACCACACGGCCAAGCTTGCACTCAAAAAACCACCCGGCTCCACTTGGTCGCCGAGCTTCACATCATATATTCATATTCGTGTGGTAAGAATCAAACACTTTTCCACTGTGTGAACGAAAACATTAAAATGACTTTTTACACTTTATTCCACGTCCGACAACAAGCATGCATGCACGAAATGTTTACATTTGGTTGACACACATACCAATTATTGTTGAAAAATAAGAGATGAATTCATCCTTACGTCCATGACGTCCATGATCACACGCACATCTCCCATGCCACACCCACACTTGTATTGTATATCCGCACCTAACCTCAATTGACGAATGCACAACGCTTCCGGACTTCTCCCTTGGAGGGGGGTCCTTTATCACCCTGATGTTCCCCATCTTGATCATGGAATGCGCAAAGGCCTTGAAGAATGCGTCCTGGCTGCCTGCGAACCGGTCGACGATCGGCGCCGTCGTCCCTACTGCGAGTGGGTGTGACTTGAGTATCTGGTCGGACTAGAGGAAGCCGCGGTTCACCTTGAGGTTCGTGAAGTAGTTCTTGTCGAACTTGTCGGGTGTTGTCGGGTCGAGGTCGTTCAGGGAACCCACGGGTCCGTTCCTTGGGCATCGCTGGGACAAGAAAGCCCTGTAGCCTGGGTTGAGGGTCGGGTCAGGCCGGTTCGTGCCACTGAAGTTGTACAGTCTGTCGGTGACAAACTGGCATTGCACGCGGCCGAAAGTGTGGGCGCCTACACATTTGAAACAAATATAAGGTTCACATTGGACATGAGACAATGAACATATATAACAATTTCCTCCACTTATAAATCAATATTTAAACTTGAGGTTTCTTGTGAAGTTTTTATGATAAGATATTTCTTAAGTTTTATCAACATATTTATAAAGCTTTCATCATCAATAGTGAAGGTAAAGGTACATAAAGGAGAGGCCGGAGGCAGTAGTAGCAGTAGTAGCAGTAGCAGCAGGAGTAGTAGTAGTAGTAGTAGTAGTAGTAGTAGTAGTAGTAGTAGTAGTAGTAGTAGTAGTAAATTCAGAGGGCCGTTTTGGCTCTGGAGTGCATATGTTCCCTAATGAACAGTAAATTCAAAATAAATGGTAAATAAAATTTCAAAATTAAGATTTTTCGTAGATGTTCTTATCAGTACAACAAGTGTGCTTGCCATTTTTCATGCGAGGATGACGATGCTTTGTTGGTGAAAAAAAACAAAAAATAAGTGTAACATTTGTCATTCGACTTGTTTGCACAGATCAAAATACTTAAGCTTCCATATATATATATAGGATCGCGCTATTCGTCACCCTGGGTGAGGAATAGTTATTCTTCATCCCTCTCTATTTTACTATCAATGCACCGTAATTTTACATTCTGTAAGTTTTATCTTATTTCCGACGCAAAAAGAGACCGTAAGAAAATATATAATCGCCGTAAAAAATATTTTATGTTATGTAAAATTACAAACGTAAAAACATAGTCTAAAATACACATAAACTGCAAATTTTCTTGTCTTATGACCTATATTTTTATTTTCTTATGTCAAATTTTACGTAGTGAATCAATAGAAATGTAACTATTTGAATTCGAAACGTAATTTAATTATGAAATGATCGTAAGATTACCTCGGGTAAAGAATAACTTATTCTGCACCCTGGGTGATGAATAGTAACACTATATATATATATATATATATATATATATATATATATATAGGGAAAATCCATCCTACCACCCGGTGGTAGTTACCCCACATGTTTCATATACTAGCATATGGTACTATATATACTATTTTATTATTTTTAATATGTTCATATATTATATCTAAGATATTCCAAAACAAGTTACATGAAAAAATTGCATATGAGCCCATAGTTTTCGTTATATTTGTGAAATATATACATATTTGTACGTAAAAAAGAACATGCTCAAAAAAGGGTACATACTACCTAAAAATTTATATATATACTACCTAATCATTGTTATATACTACATACTACATGTACATACTCTCGGTTTAGACAGATACTACATACAACATACAAAACACAAGTGGTGGTAACTACCACTGCTTGTAGAAAACATTTGTCTATATATATATATATATATATATACGGCTGCGCTAAAGTGCGCCTGAGCGCAAAGTTGCTAATCGTGCGCTCCGGTCAGACTACGCGCACCACTCCCTCGCCTCTGTAATCAAGGAACCATCGAACCTCGCGTATTTTTCTTCCACCTAGTAGTAAATTTAGTGGGAAACCTAGTAACGATATTAATTTCATTACTATTGCCTCCCACTCGTTCACGATCCCGCGCACATATGACATAGTAATGAACAATAGGAAACATAGTAAAAGAATTTATTATGTTACTACTGCCCGATCTTGTTTTATTAGTGTTCGCTTCCATTTCCATGGCTCGTAAAAAACTATGGAATATAGTAATCAACCATCATAACCGTTACTGTGTGGACAATTGTCCTAGTAAATGTATTGAGAATTAGTAGTAATAAGAGTTCTCCAATGGTAAAGCGAGAGTATTTGCTAAAGTAATTGAGCGATTTTTCACATGGCTGATCATTGTAAAGTTGAAAAGTTTCAGGCTGTAGTAACACATAAAATGCAAATTACTACATGCGGCTTGCCACTTACGATCAAAAGAAAGTGTGGAACCACGTGGGGTGGGGTGGATCTGCGGAGGGGTGCACATGCAGTTACTTTTTTCCTAATCTAGTTACGGCTCAATGGGCAGCGCGCATAATCATAATTCTACGCTCTGGCTCACTTTAGCAAGTCTATATATATATATATATATATATATATATATATATAAAGACATTTGCAAAAAAACATTTTTGGTGTGCAGGAGCATACGCTCACAATAGCCGAATTGGATTTCCGCAGAGTATCAAGAGTCTATGTAGTTTTCGATGTTGTGCTTGTGCGCGAGCTCGATTACCAGAGAGAGCGACGAGGTCGGTAGTATCGTCGAGCGTGGCCGTTCTGTACTTTTCTTTCAGAGTGTTGAGGGGGTCGAATGGGCCTGGTAGTTCCCCGGCTGCGGTAAAGTTGGACGTGAAGCCATCCAGCCTCCCCAGCAAGACGCTCCACCCGGGTCCTCCGGACTGCATATAAATGCCAAATTAGCAGCCAGTCGAATTGCTCGTATAGTTGCATGCATGCATGTGTCCTTTGTTTGTGCAACCGTGAAGCTACGCAGAACCTACCTACCAATCATGCACCTAGTGAGCTAGCTGGGTAGTTTGATTCACTGTACGTGACGTGACGTAACGGGGTGGTAGCACGTACCAGCTGGACCGATATCTCGGAGGCGATGGCGAGGATGTCGGCGCAGGAGACGACGCCGGGGCAGGCGGCCTCGAGGGCGGCCTTGGCGGCGTCGACGACGCTGTAGCCGCGCGCCGAGCCCTTGTTGGGAATGGCGTCCTGCTCCGTCTCCATCCCGTTGAAGGTGTTCAGCAGCAGCGAGCCGTCGCAGCCCTGCACGAAGCAGTCGTGTAAGTGGAGCCGGATCAGGCTGGCGAAGATGCGAGGGTCCGACTTGTGCGCCTGCACCAGCACCCCCTGCACGATCTTGTACGCGTCCGGGCACGTGCAGTCGTAGTAGTCCACGCACAGGTCCGCCGCCGCCAACGCCGCCCCGCCGGCGTGGAGGAGGCAGACGGCCGCCAGCAGCGCGGCCAAGGTGGCGGCGCCGCGGAGGGCGACTGGGGAGGAGGAAGGAGAAGCCATGTTGCTAAGAGGCTGATGAAGTGGTGAACACTGTGAGGAAACGGGAGCTGGATTTATAGGCCAAGTTCTAACTCGATGGTTTTAACATGCATGCATGCATTCTCGAGGTTGTTTCGTTTTACGTAAGTATACTTTGGCGCGGTAGGATAGAGTTATGAATGGATGGATAGATGCGCTCCAACCCCAATCGACAACTTGCAGAAGAGTGAGCAATCAGTTGAGCTCTCCGTGGACTACTTTTCAAACTTGTTCACGATACTTTCTTTGATGTTTCCGATTGAATGAGTGAGCGTGACTGAATATTGTCTCTAGCTATAGCTAGTCTCACATGCTTGTAAACGTATGTGCCGCGTGTCTGCGGTTCAGTCATGTGTTGGGTGGTGTATCGTGTTCAAGAAGTGTCGAGATGAAGAAACATTGTTCAAGTAGTGGCGAGATTTAGAAACATTGTGTTCGGACTTCTATATATATATCGAATCACAGCTATGCTTCTGCCCGTCCGGGTAAATATATGTTACTTTCTCCGATCTAAATTAATTGTCGCAGATCTAGTACAACTTTTGAATCGGAGGGAGTAGCTAGTTTAGACTTTGGAGCACTAGTACATATTTAAGGTTTATTTTTCTCCGAAGCCTATGCCTGAATCATATGTGTATGTACTACCTCCGTCCTGGTTTATAAGTCCCCTTTGTATTTTATGTCAAATTTTGACTAAAAATGTAATTAACAAAGCATTAATGCATGTCACCAAAAAATATATCGTTAAGTTCGTATTAAAATATAGTTTCCAATTATATTATTTTTATGACATGCATTAACATTTTTTTAATTAAATTTAAGGTCAAAAACTGACACAGAATACAAAGAAAACTAATAAACCAGGATGAAGGTAGTAGTTCATGTATCTTATCTGTCAAGTAGCTTCAAAATCATTTGAAGGTTATCTTCAGAGATACATGATGGGTCCGTATGTGGTGCTTTTTGCAACATCCGGAGGATCACGGGCCTATGGCCTTTGGGTGGAGCCGATGAAAGATGATAGCACGGGATACGTCCAACCACTTTGGATGACACTAGTAATTAATATGTTGTGTTTAAGTCGTCATGTAAACCAAATCTTGTTATCTTAGACCTTGTTTTCGCTTTGTAATATATGTTAGGATGTTTTCTATTCCCTCCATTCACAAATATAAGATGTCCTAACTTTGTTTCGAATCCGATGTATGTAGAGTTATGAGTGTGGTGTTTCAGCTCCCGGGTGCCCCTACACCCTCTATAGACAGTATACTAAAGAAAAATAGAATTTTTTTGAAACTTCCCAACATCAAATATGATCAAACTTTGTAGGTGCTTGCAAGTTTTCATGCAAAAAAATAAAATAAAATCAAGGAGCTCTACACAAGAAAAAGATCTCAATGCTTGAAGTTTTGAGCACTTTTAGCACTGAAATCTGAAACTCGCGATATTCGAGGAGCTGTACATGATATTTTGTTATGGAAACTTGCAAGCACCTACAAAGTTTGACCATATTTGATGTCGCAAAGTTTCAGATTTTTTTGAATTTTTTCTGTTTTCTTGAATTACTGTACATAGAGGGTTTAAGGGCACCCAGGAGCTATCACACCTTTCTCGTAGAGTTATAGACACGTTTTAGTGCGTTTGTTCATTTATTTCACTATTTCAATCCGTATGTAGTTTATATTAAAATATTCAAAACACCATATATTTGTTAGCGGAGAGAATATGATATTTTGATAAATATAGCTATGTGCATGGAATGGCAGAGAGGCCGATGGTTAACCTCCCTTTTGAAAAAAAAGTCCATCTCATGGACAACCAGAGGCAGGGTTGATTAGATAGTACGTCCGCGTACCCCCGCGTCGCCTGGGAGGCGACTCGGGGGAACCCTAGCCCGCCGCGCCGCCACCCCCTCTCCCCGGCTCCCCTGCCGCGCCGCCGCCGGAGGAAACCGCCGGGCGAAGCCCGCGCGGCGGACGGCGGCGGCGGGGCTTCCCGCTCGCGCGCGCGGCGTCGTTCCACGACGGCGACCGCTCCAGGTGGGGAAGGCTCGGCCTCCGGCGCTGCGGCCGTCGCGGCGCTCCCCGGCGGCCCTCTGCTTCGTCTCGCGCTTCTCCTTCTCTGGGTGGGTGGAGTGGCGTGGCCTGGAGCTTGGCCGGCCGTGGCTGCGGCGTAGGCGTGCGGGTGCTTAGGCGCCAGATTTGGTCCGCGCCCGATCTGGCCCGCCGGCTGCTGTTGGCGGCGAGGAAGGGATCTGGCGTGGTGGTGACGCCCCATAGCGCCGCCGCCGCACCCCTCGCCTCCCCTCCCTATGCTGCCGCCTAAGGGCCTCCCAATGATGCGATTTTGGTGGTCGGGATCCAGATCGGGGGAAACCCGGGTCGGCTACGGCCGGCCGCGACGACGACGACGCCTGCGGGCGCCGATTTCTTCATGGAGACGTCTGTCAAGGTCTGCCCTTCCACTCCCCACCACCTAGCTTCTCGGGTGAAAACCTAACTCCGGTGGGCGGCGGCGGCGTCTTTGGCGCCGTGACCTTCTTGAAGGCGCCGCCTTGAGGGCTGGGTGGTGGCGGGCGCTGTTTGGGGTGGGTAACAGCTGCTGACGGCGTGCCCTTCTTCGCCCAAGCCTCCGCTTTTCCTCCGACGCGTCCAGGTTCTCCTGGGGGTGCCGTTTTGGAGTAAGCGTTGGCTGGGGGGAGGGTGGAGCGGTGCTCCGTCTCACTCATTGATGGCGGTGGATGTCGGCGGCGTGGCGCTGTGGAGGCTCGACGTCCGATGCACGGAGATGGACTCGCGCAGGAGGAGGTTGCTGTTTGGCGTCATGGTGGCGTCAATGGCGGAGTGGCCAGACATGGTAGATGCCTCAATTTGATCTGAAGACGGACCTGTGGAAGATGGCGGCGACGACACACGAGTGCGTCTGACCGGATTACGCCCCAGACCAGGTATGTGGCTCGGCTGGGGCTTCCGAATGTGTTTCGGCTTCCGGCTATTGATGTTAGGATTACGTGAGTGGTCTGGGTAGTAGCCCGGCTAGCTCTCTTTCATCATATTGGATAGGAGTAGTGGCATATGTTGCCAAGATGGTGGATTCAGGCACATTGGTGTAATACTTTGTATGGTCATCGTGAATAATCAATAAAGTGGCCGTATGCATCTTCCAGATGCAGAGGCCGGGGGTCATCCTCCTTTTCTAAAAAAAAAACCAGAGGCAGGGATGTCTTACTAGATTGTTCCTCTTCCTTACCATTAATATCTCATCAACCAACAGACTGAATGTGACTGCAATTCTTGAGGGAATGTGACGGCATCAACATTCACATATATTGGATATTCCAAACCCAATCAGTACCTTTCGTCAAGACAGAAGATCGGTGTGAGCTGTATATATAGACGAAACTTCCTTCCTTCTCCATGCGATGACGACGGCTGTCTTCCCATCCATACATGCAACGTCCATGTTATTGTGCTAACATGATTACAACTAACTTTAGGAGCTTTCACCACTAGTATTTCGTTCACAAATACATCGTCCTAAGAGACATGCATGCAGTATAACTTAGTGTGATCGTTTCATAATTTAGTGCAAATATTTTTCTTTTAAAGTCAAACCTCATGCCATCATTAGTTGTTGCCTGAAGCACTGGCCGCCACCATGAGGTTCACCTCTTCTCGCTCCGGTTCGTCCAGGGGCCTTGTTTATGTCGGTTGGCACTATGGTGATGTGTCCACGCTTATGACGGCGTCCGACTTCTCTATTGATGCTAAGATATGTGGTGTTATGGCGTGCGTGTGGTGCCCAGGACCACATACCAACTCCTCCACGAGATGGAATTTGAGGATTCTTCTGCCGTCGCCAACGCCTGATCTGGACAAGACACGGCATTTGGTGGCAAGGAGCATATACGCCAAGAGGAGGCGATGACCCTTGTACTCGTGGTCAAAGCTAAATCCAACTAAGAGCATGGTTAGTACTACAACTAACAATTGACTATAAGGGGTTGCCATGTCATCTATAGCCAACTTTGTAACCGGCAATGTACATGCTGAGTAAATAGGCAATTTTTCGACCAATTTAATTCATAAATAGATGACTAGCATGGCATTGACAGAATTAACGACATACTGATACTCATCTAAACAAGCACGTACTACGCAAACAGTGGACGGATCTACACATAATGCTAGTACTGTTAATACAAAAATAATCAGGAGAGGCTAAACGCGTTATACCCTCCAGTAGGCCATGCAGAAGCCGCCGCGGCGATGGCGGCAGCAGTGGCGTCCTCGGCGGCCTTCTTGTCGGCCTCAAGCTTCTCGGCGGCGAGACGGTCGGCGCTGGACTGGGACATGGTGATGATGAAGGCCACGCAAACATAGTGGAAGTAGCGAATCGGAGGCGAGTGATACGTCTTCATCGTATCTACTTTTCCAAAGTGTATTGCCCTTGTTTTGGACTCTATTTTGCATGATTTGAATAGAACTAACCCGGACTGATGCTGTTTTCAACAGAATTGCCATGGTGTTATTTTTGTGCAGAAATAAAAATTCTCGAAATGACCTGAAATTTCACGAAGATTATTTTTGTAATAAATAAAAAATATTGGCGAAAGAATCAACCAAAAGGGACCCACACCCTGTCCAAAAGGGTGGGGGACGCCCCCACCCTCCTAGGGCGCGCCCTCCAGTCTTGTGGGTCCCATAGACCTCCATCGACCTCAACTCCAACTTCATTTATTCATGTTCAGGAAGAAAAAAATCAGAGAGAATGATTAATCGCGTTTTATCATACGGAGCCGCCGTCACCCCATGTTCTTCATCGGGAGGCCAGATTTGGAGTCCGTTCGGGGCTCCGGAGAGGAGAAATCATCGCCATCATCATCACCAACCTTCCTCCATCACAAATTTCATGATGCTCACCGCCGTACGTGAGTAATTTCATCGTAGGCTTGCTGGACGGTGATGGTTTGGATGAGATTT